TTAGACATTGTTAATTATGAAATACAAATTAGGTCTTAATTTTAGATTCTGGATGAATAATTACATATATGTATGGCTTGAAATTTTAAATGCAGAAAGAATGTTGTACTTATAATCAATTTTTAGGCATTGAAATGTGTTTTACAGAAAATTCTAGGAAAATCAACTGAGGCTAGACTGACTGGTGGCTGAGGTAGACTTTTTGAAGCAACAGTATTCTGAGGATCGATGCAGTACATACTTCAACAATTGTATCTAAAAGGCTACTTGCAATTTTTGAAGAAATATCTTTAAAGGAAAAAAATTACTCCCAATGTTCAAATAGTCTTAAGTCTTTCAGTATTTAACAGTGCCGAAGATCCAAAATTATAAAAATCACCTCTCTTTTACATTCAGGAGCTGCAGAATTTTTGTCTAAAATCATCATGGCTGTTTTCAACATTTCAACATTTGAAAATGTCATGAGAATTAATTTAATGTTGATCAGGATGTCAAGACATATTATTTGAAGAGCACATTCAATGTAAACCTGAGGTAACAAACTTTAAAAAAAAAAAAAAAAAAAAAAAAAAAAAAAAAAAAAATTCAGCTTTTTTTTTTTTTTTTGGACAATTTTCTTGAATCTGCAAAGGGAGGTAACTGGTAATATGCCAAATATTTTGTTAAAATGACAGATTTTATTTCCATTTTTCAAACCTCAGCAGCAGAATCTTTTTTCTATGCTTGATTTACATTATACATATATTGATTATTATTCTGTAATAAATTGAACAAAATCTTGTGGTTATTTTTTTTTATTTTGAATAATTACATGAATGTGAGGTATGTATTTTCACTAGATTGTTATGTTCATATAGCATTTTAATTGTTATCAAATTTTTGTTATTGTATTTATTTCATCTGATGTAATTGTAATGTTTTTAGCCTCTTTCTGCTTTATATTTGTGTTTCAAATTATTTTTGTTACTTTTTCATGTTAACTTCATGTACAAAATACTAATATGCAATAAATTTTAAAATTAAGATTGATTTTGGGATGATCTTTTACACTAAAGTGTAGCTGATAATTTTAACAAGCATTTCTGCTAATTTGATGAATTTTGAAGAATTTTCTGTTTGGACCCCCCAGCGTCCTTAAAGCGCTTCGTGAAATTTCAAATAACCAGTAAACAATATTGCGTCATCCACGTTTCAAGAGGCACTGGATGCGGACTTTTTTTCCATACAAAGCTTAAAAGCGGAGCAGGAGAAGATGATTAAAACTTTACTGGAGAAGAAGGATTGTATTGCAGTCCTACCAACTGGATACGGCAAATCTTTGCCATACCAATTATTATTACCGTTGACACAGAAGTTGGGTTTTGATGCTGACTTTAAGATTCTTGTTTGTTGTCCGCTTGTCGCGCTCATGCAGGACCAAGTAAAGCGACTGGAAAAAATCGAATGCCTGTGGACTCTGTATAAAGGTGCATGTAACGTTATTTATCATTCTGCAAAAATAACAGATCGAGCACAATCTAGATCTCTTGATTTAGCTATATAGCTTGAAATAGCTATATAGCATTATTAGGCTAAAAGTTTTGAAGTGTCAAAACATAAAAGTAGAGGTTGGATTAATTAATATCTGGAGTTTTAATGTCCTTTCATAGGTAGGCCTATGAGTGAATACACGGAGGTTACATCTCCATGAACATGTAAAATTTAAACAATCCACAAAAATTAGCCCCCACGAATTTTAACGATTCCTCGGTATTGTTTATAAAAAAAATTAACTTTATTACAGGAAGAAGCAAAGAGTTAGATGAAAGAATTCTGGATGGTGATTTTGATATTTTATTCGCATCACCGGAAGCATTAGTTGGAGATCAGCACTTTCGCCTGCAGTTGCAGAAGTACAGCATCGGAGTAATTGTGGTTGATGAATATCATACTATTTACGAATGGCAAGTATTTCTAACAAATATCTATAAAAAGTATATTTTTTGTTTTTTTAAGAATATATTCTCCTATTCCTTTAAAATCGAGGGTTATCAAAAAGTTTGTCGACTCCCATTCTAAAATTGTAACTGCTTTAGGTACATGAATGATTTTTTTTTTTTTTACACATTTACAGGGCTGTATATATACTAGTATATAGGTCCCTGACATTTAGTTAACATCATCTTTTCTATCCATACAATAAACTACAAATCAAAACTAAAGCTTTATTTTTTTTAATAACTTGTCGATGTTTTTGTAAATTATGATATGACCATGTGGTGCAATCTCAAAACACATGTATTTTCAACCTGACTGTTATGGAGGAAAAATCTTTGATATGAGCTTTTGTTATCCAATAATCACATTAATTCACTTGTATGGTGTGATATAATTGTTCCCTAAAATTTGCTATTTTTACCTCATTCTACAAGTTCTATAAAATCTAATTGTAAATTTTAAATAGAACGCCCAATTAAACTATAAGGAGTTAAAAATAACGCCATTGTGGGGGTCTTTTTTGCACAATCTATAAAGTTTCACTCTGATAAAAATAGCACATGTACACAGGAAAAATTTGAACATCCTACAGAGAAATTTAATGTATCCAGATTACCTGTTTTTAAATGCCAGAAAAGATTTAGTGAGTAGAGACACACATTTACTGCCAATTTGCAATCCGAGTGTCCAAAGTCACATTGAAGTGACACTGCTAATGTGCGGTACAAATTGAACTTCGACTATCAGACTAACCGACATAGTCAAGTGAGAATCTTTATCTTTTGTATAAATCCATTTACAATATTATGCGTTGATTTAAGCTGTTCATGACATTGCATAGTAATATAAACAAGTCAGGTTTCAGTCTTTATTAAACTAAAGGGAATCTCATCAAGAAAAGTGTATTGAGGCAGAGGGAGCAGACATCAAGAAAAAAAAATGTTGTGGGGCATCATGAAACTCAATGACGACAGCGCCGGGTGATCATATAATATCTTTTTTTAATTAACGATAATTCAGCCACTTATTGTATGAAAGCTAAAATTTTCAAAACTTCTTCAACTATTGTTGGTTTATGTTCCCTGTAAATTTTGTAAACACAGGCTGCCTAGTAAGTCTAAATTTTCTTGCATCAGTCTATAAACTTTTTGATAATCCCTTGTATAGAAAAGTATGAATTTCATTTTTGTAAACAGTGCACAGGTCCAGATCTTTTGCAAGATTTGTTGTTTTCTTTACACAATAATCGGAATTATTAAACTGTATCTTTTTTATATTAATTTATAAATCAAGATGTACAATGTTGTTCTAAAATGTTTCAGGGGTGGTGAGGCGACAGCTGATGAAAGTGACGCATTCAGAAAATGGTTTTGATACATTGGTGAACTCAGATCTTTATGGCCACAATCAAATCATCTTTCCTTGAGTGCAACGTGCACAAACAAAATCAAGAGACGTGTGTTTGGTGTTTTAGGATTAGATCCTGCCCACATTACCCAGTTGACAGTCTCACCCAACAAGCCAAACATTAAACTTATTGTTAAAAAAGTGGACAATAACATTGAAATATCTATGTGTTGGTTAATTGATGCATTAGATGATTTAGGAGACCAATTTCCGAGAACTCTTGTTTACTGTAATTCTATCTCTGATGTGTCTAAATTGTATTGTTATGTTGTTTCAGAAAATAATCAATTACAGAAATTAGTAGATATGTTTCATTCAGAAACATTAGATGAAAACAAAAGAGAAATCATTAAAGCTTTATGTGATGAGAACAGTAATGTTAGAATAATATGTGCCACTGCAGCATTAGGGATTGGTATTGATGCTGTCAATTGTACTTCATTGGTAATACTTGGACCTCCTAGAAGCATAGTAGATTTGGTGCAAATGATTGGTAGAGTAGAAAGATGTGGAAGACAATCAGTTTCTGTAATTATGTACAATTCATATCAGTTAAGGAATTGTGAGAAAGAGGTGAAAGACGTCTTGCAATGTACATCATGTCGTATAAAGAAACTATTAGAAAGTTTTTTATGTGACTCTGAATTGTCAAAAGTAGAAGTTGACACTCATATTTGTTGTGATATATGTGCAGAGTTGTATACATGCAAAAAATGTGAATTTCTGCACCTGGAGCAATTGCTTAATAACGGTAATGAAGTCAGTGCTTTATCTCAATGTATTGATAGTGATAGTGGCACTATAGGTTATTACAGTGATAGTGAATTCACTGATAATGAAGAATTGACATTGTTTCAGTCTGTCAATGAGTCAGAATATACTGTATTCTTAATAACAGTATGTCATTTTATTTGTCGTTCACACAACTAAAAGCTTATAACATAGATTCCAGGTTACCCAGAACAATAGTGAGGTTCATTTTAAACATTGTTCTTCAGAGAATTTCTTGTAACATTCTAAACTCTCTGAATATATGTTAAGAGTTCAAGATAAAGTTGCACAAATAAGATTAAATCTATCTTATATATATATAGAGAGAGAGAGAGACCATTTTGTACTACACAATATTATAAGAAGTGCAACCAGTAAGAATTTTCATAAACCTAAGATAATAGGTACCTATATGCTCACATATAAGTCGGTCCGCCTATAAGTCGGTCGTATTTTTTAAGCTTATATTAGAAGGATAGACCCTTTAAAATACCAATCTTTTTATAACTCGCATATAAGTCGGACAAAGACTTTTGGACCAAAGTTTAACTCCGCAAAAACCGACTTATAGGGGAGTGTATACGGTAGTCTTCATGTTTTTCTAAATTGCTATTAAAGACTGGACTTTTAAGGAAATCACAGGGACCTGAGGCCTCCAAAATTTGTTTCCTGCTCATGAGAATCTTTTGGGATTTTAAGTCTTCCTAATAACAGAAGTTTTATGTTCTTTTTTAAGCCAGTTCCTTAAAACCCAGTTTTCTTGTACTATAGACTGATAAACACTATGTAGAAGATGAAGAAAAATCCGAAAATCATGTATAATTTTTATTTCGTAATCTTGAAAAAGGTGTAACAGGTCCATGTCTGTGAATGAGAACAGGAAGTCATTTAACAGAATTATCATATGGATTTTTGTTTTTACAAAGTTCTCTACACAACAGTTTTCTATCTGGCTGACATTGCAATGCATTTATACATTGAATTTCTTTGGCAACTTTAATTACATCAGCTTTATAGCTTGGCAATTTGTGAAACCCTTTCCTGCCCCTGATCTCAGATATTTGATCATAGTGTTTTTACAAAATTTATCAAATGTGGATACTGCTTAGAATGCATGATAATACTTTCTTTTGTTTGGTGTCCTGACACAATATTCTTACTATCTCTGTTTAGTATTTCAAGATATTCGTCAAGTGCCAAATTGTTATTTTTTCCACCTGAAATGTTAATTGTTCTGTTTGCCACTAAACGCTGTTTTCGTGATCTGGAAGAGTATTTTCATACAGTTCAGTAAGATGAATACAACTAACCACATATTTCACTTTCCCTGTTTTGTTGAATAAAGGTAATTCATATTTTGCTGACCGAATTGATCTACAATCATCAGCCATATCAATAGATGTGTCAAGATTTTTCAACAGAGCAGATAATTTGAAAAACAATAAACCATACTTGTTCAATTCATCACAATTTTCTGTTTTTGACTTTTTTGAATTCTGTTGATCATTCTTATGCTGATGTATTGTATGTTCATGGGTTTTCAAACTTCCAACGTGTGCATAAGATCTCTCGCAGTAATGACACTGAAATCTCCCATCATTGACATTGTTTATGCAGTAGTTTTCTGGATGACTAGCATCACTCAAAACATCACGCACATCTCTCAACATATTGTCTGAATTATCAAAAAAACCACTTCTTCACAATATTCTTGCAAATTGAATTCTTCCATTTTATTTTTTCATCATCATTCTATTCCATGAATTCTTCAGGAAATGTCACATTTGTTTCAAATCATGAATGTTGAATTCCATGAGAAATAGTGTGCAACAGGAAGCATCAAAAATGGTATAGTAGAGCATTTTATAGGCTCTGAAAGAATTCTTCACACTACTCTTGACATTTCTGGCATTGAGAACATTCCTAAAATAGTAGACTGTCCCTCTGTCCCTCTCCGATGAAGTGAATAAGTCTATTTGACGATGGCCTAAAATATTGGAAAAAAAGATAGCAAAACAAACTTTTAAAAACACAATGCCACTTTGTCCCATAAACTTTCAAATTTTTTACAAGGTAAAATAATTTGTTTTTTTCTAATGAACTACCATCTGTACATAGGCAAGCTACATGTATGTATTGAATGGATAAGCACTGTTAAGAAGTAAATGTTTACATGCTTAAAAATTACCGACAATAATCGTGGATATGTAAACCTGTAATTGACAACTTCACGGTAATCCAAGCTACGTAGCTAAATATGATGTTAAGAAAAATTTGCAACCTGATCATGCTGATTGCACGCAACTAAGTTATAATTTACACTTGAAAAAGCAAAATACTGTATGTTATATTTTATTATCCCCTCGTTCAGTTTTATTTATGTGATTGGAATATGAGACGATCAAACAATAGGTGAAAAAATTAAAATATATATATATATATATATATATATATATATATATATATATATATATATATATATATATATATATATATATATAAATCAAGGCAACATTTGATCCAGGTGCAAATTACATCACTTCTATTTGCACATGACTAACTAACACACCCACAAACACACAACTGTGTTATTATGTCCCCTCCAACTCCAGTGGGATAATAAAGCTCACTTTCTTAAATATGACAATGTGAAGTCTTAATGTTCCTGACCTTTTGTTCTTTTAAAACTGAAATTTATTTCATGTTCAAGAGTCAAAATCTCAAAAAAGTACCTCTAAGAAATTCATTATTCGGTGCCAATCTTCAATCTTGGAGATGAATCCTTGGAGTTTTTCGCGGGGAGTTGGAGCATTATTCATGGTCCGTTGAGCGCCTTGGATTCTTTCATCCGTAAGTCTATCCCCTGAAATCCAAACATGTTTATTAAAAAAAAAATATTTAAATTTCTTTGAAAACATTCAAAAGGAGAATGGATCAGTATCCACCTTGACCATCTCTATTTTTTTTTTAACAATACATATTGTGAGAAAAGCATTTGTACCAAGAATGTTTCTATGCTATATTCGACTTAAGAGTTTATCAGGGTTTCACAAACCAAATGCACACATATCTATTACTTTTAATATGCATTGATCTCCTGTTCATTTGTCTACTTTAAATAGTAACTGGGTTAGTTAAAGAACTTAATTAATACATAAAAACATATATTACCTTCACTTCCCCAATCAAACAATCAACTTTATTTTCTTTATCTGTGGTATTACAGGTGGAAAAACCAAGAGATCTCTTTGCAGATTGTTTCTTCTCCTTAAGCACCGATGAACTTGATGGAATATCAGTATATGTACTTGATATGATTTTATTATAACTTGGAAATTCACAAAGGTGTACCACAGAGTAGTTAAATGGTAATGTCTTCTGATGTTTCAGTGGTTGTTGTTATGGAGACTTAAGAAGCCTCTTCTGAGTATCTGTTTTCTTTTCTTGCGACTTTTTGCATGATAATTGATACAGTTCTCCGACAAAAGACTTGGATTCTCTCTTTCTGTAGAGTTTTTAAATCATTTTGCATCTGATTTACTTTTTTTCAATTTTCATGTAACAGGTAACACAGATTCCATTCACACTGTGTTCTGTTTCAAATTGATGCAGTACTTTTGTAATGTGCTTAATTCGCTCCTCATTTTTAATTTTTTGTTCAAATATTTTTTCTCTATTACTGCACCAGTTTTTGAAATTTCTGATTGCAAGAAAGAAAATCCACATATAACACATATATTGGATTGATGGTTATATGTGGCGTGGTGTCACAGGACTCCTAGCTACAGCAAACAACTGGAATAAAAGTTTTATTTGTTTAAATACTACATGTACATAGGTATATGCCACCAAAAAAGTAATATTAAAAGTGCTTAGAAAGCTTAATCATGCTTAATGATTTCAGATAGTCAATAAGGTTTAATTAATTTCTGTAACATCTGGAAACTACTTGATTAAAATAAGATCAAATTAGATCATTAAATTGAGCTTCATACATATCAAATAACAAACAAATTTTGGTACAAGGTGATAATCATTGAATTTTTTTGTACATTGTATCCTCCTTAAAAATTAGTTAAAATACATGTCTTTTTAAAAGTTGTGATATATATATATATATATATATATATATATATATATATATATATATATATATATATATATATATATATATATATATATATATATATATATATATATTATTGTAACAATTCATGATTTGTACCTTGATCTTTAATGGAGAGAACTGATATAGGCCATTTTTGCCTGCTGTTCAATTCATATTCATTGTATTAATCCATATATGTATATCGTGAATAAAATACTTCTTAAACTAATCAACGTTCAATGGATCAAGTTCTTACGGTTATCATAAAGTGCCAGCATATTAATTGAAAAACAATGTAAACCTATTTTTAAAGAAAAATAAAAAAAATTATTGAGACGGAATCTTAAAATTAGCGTTTATCCTCTACCTAACAAAACATGAATCTCTCGTGGTAATTCGACGTAAGACCACACTCAGATGTTTAAAAAATTATGTTCACAACATCGAACGACCACGTGCAACGTGTAAACACAAATGATCTTGACAATATTAATACATGTACATCTGTCGTACAACATTCATGTACATCTTACATTTCGTAGACTGATCTTTAATTACAATATTCAAAAGAATAATCAAATTTGTTTGACGTATAAATCTAATCTTTACCTTATTCGACTTCAGCGTCTTGTTTGCCGGACTCCTGTTGGTATCCATGTTTATTTTTGTTTACCCCCTTTTCGATAAAATCCGAGAGTTTCGAAAGCTTCCGTTGTTTTTAATTAGGTGACTGAAGACCAGTTTTCTGCATTTTACGACTCTACCGATAGAGGCGCTTCATAATCCTGAAAGCTGAAATCTAATTGGTTAAAAAAAATTGTAAACACCGGATCATCCACATGTGACCTCATATGGAGTTTCTTCAGACCTTCACGCGACAATCAAAATAAAAAGGAGCTAGTGAAGGTTTGATTTTAATCAGATTGTTAGGCTGTTAAGTTACAATTAACGTCTTTTTTTTTATAAAATATCCAAATATGAAACAAATGTGTCAGACTTTGTGGTATCTTTTATGTCAAGCTCACTGGGAAATATCGTGTCGACATGTGAATGGAAAATAACTATTGATATTTGATTATACGGCGTCGATATATCTAAATGTCGAGATGAAGGTCACAGCAAGTGTTTTCTTCTTCTCATGTATAAAAAGTATAAGATTTTGAATAAATTCTCCTTCATATGAATACGAAAATAGGTCTGCTAAAAACGGGGTTCAATTGGTACCCATGGGAATTCCAGCAGATTGTTGGAAGACCTGGTCTCCAAAAACCACATAGATATTGTCAATCAGAAACTCAGGCATCTTTTTCTATCAACTTCAAAATACTTGTGTGTACAATCAAAGTACTTGGGTCTTTTTTAACAAAATAATTTCGCAAATGACCAATGACAGGGTAAGTAAATTTACAAGATCCTTTATTATTGAAAAAGCAGTTGTCAATAATGTCAAATTTCACACAGGGGTATTACTAGAGAAACTGTTTTACGGGGAAAATAAGTACAATGCGGACATTCACGCGCGCTGATATATAACAGGCTAGTACCGTACTCAAAGGACTTTGATAGCATTGTATTTTGATAAAATACTTCTAAACATAAAGCGTTACTTAACAATAGAAATTTAGTTTAATGAAGGTTGTAGGAATGGGGCCCAGAGAAGAGTGGGGATGCGTATTAGGAACACCTGTAACAGTTCACGTTACAGTAAGCACTGGCTATTAATTGCTCTTATTTTCCGGTACTTTTTTGACTACGAGTGTTTTCGGAAACTGCTCATCATCCAGCTGAGTTTTAAATCTTTTAGGGTTAATATGCGTACTATGTAGATCTGCTCCTTGAAAGTCATTTGCAGGAACATGCCTGCAGGTGTAGGCGCGTGTAATGAGTGAAGTGATTGAGATAAATAATATAGCCGTAATTTTTTACATTTTTGAGGAAATACTTTAAAACGCAAACCATGAAGATACATTCGTAGATTAGACAAGATGACATGGTCAAATAAGCATGAACTCTCGAGCAATCACCTGCGCTTCGGTCTTAATTGCGGAACAAATCTCAATATTTTCCTTGTTTTATGACATTCCTTTTCAGAATTTAAGACGTAAGGATATATGAAAAAGGTTCTACATATATATTTTATATGGGAATTCTTGAAAACACGCGCATACACGTGTGCTGCAAAAAATTTAAATAGTTATTACTTCCTTAGCATTCTACAAAACAACGTGAAAAGGGGTCACTCCATTGTATTATTTCAAAAATTGTATGCAAGGACATGCATGCACGAGTGCTGATATTTGATTGAATGATACTTCATAGGTTGTATATCGCTTTCTTCACTTTCATATGTTTATATTATAAGGCAAAACAAGAATATTGTCTATCGTGTGACTTCAAAGAAGATGAAAATTTTTAATTTGTAATTTTTAGAAATCTGCATTCTGATATTGAATATAACTGACTACATTTCTTTTCCTTCTCCTATCAATTAAAATTTCCCCAATTAAAACTGAATAGCCATTACCATAAAAAGTCCTCTACAGGGTTTTAGATACAAAGGTAGCCAAATTTTCTATCAGAGATTAATACTTTGATGCAGAAACACTGGAATGTCCTTTATTCACAAAAATGTTGCATCAAGGATCCAAAGTTTGTATTTCTTATCGGTTTTACGTAAGACTAAAAACCGCCACTGCACTGCTCTACATTTTTTTGGGGTGCAACTCATCAGCAAAGGTATTTCATTTCAAAGTAAGCAAGTTTACCAGCTTATTTGAATAATGTCATAATAATTCAATACAAATAAAACTATCAGAAAATAATGTAAAAAAAAAAAATCCATGGTTTCTTAATTTACAATTGAAAGACTGACAGAAACTCTTAATAATCTCAAACATGCATTTTTCTAAATATTTTGTAAATTAAAAAAGGGAAATATATTAGGTGATGATTTTATGGTACTTAAGATCTATATTTTGTTGATAATTGATTCATACATGATACATTTCTTTGCATCAACTTACATGAAAATATATTAGAAAGAGTCAAGTTTTCGGAATAAGAATTTAATGAAAACGAAGAATACTAGGCCTCATGCTCAAAAATCTAAATAACAACAGAAATTGTGAAACATGGACTCACGGAAAATGAAGAGGTAGAATTAGATGCCAGTCAGGAGGAATAGGCATGTCTTCTCGACTGCACATATCCAAATTGAGCATTTTGTATTATCAAAGTAAACGGAGTAATTCGTTTTTCAAATTATTGTGCTTAAGTTATATTAATTACTCAAAACGAAAAAAATAAGCGTACATGTCACTAAATATTCCGACATGCTTTCATTTCAACTTAATAAAACTAGACCTCATTTGCTTTTTATATAAGATGATCAAAGTGCATTTTATATTTGCCCTCACTTAATTTTAATACCTTCTTCGATCTGTAAACATTTATAAATCTTGAATGCAATGATTATATAGCAAGAATCTGTATTGAATTAAAAAAAAATAATAAACATTGCATTTCTTGACTACCAACAATTTATTCTCATGAACAATTAAATAGTATACTTTTTTAATTCTTCTTCCAATGATGTAACAATTTTATAAAGATTGCAATTTTTGATTTATGACCTAAATAATAAATCCATAAAGGACTTACCTATGCCTTGACCTGAGGGTATAAATAAGAACAAACTTATTATCTTTGAGGACCCGAACTGTGTCACATTGTTTGGCTGATATATCACATTGATTTTGTTCACGTGGGATATGGTTAACGTGCATTCTAAGGCTTGGATTCTAAGGCTCCGGTATAAATACATGATAATAACTTAATACTTTGCGGTGTTCAAAAGTCGAACGACTTTTTTTCAAATTGGAGATTTGTATCTGTGTATAAATATGCAACAGTAACGGTACACTGTGGTGTGGAAAAATATATGCATAAAATCACAAAGAA